GCATTTTATGGAGGACGAGGACTGTTTCCTGGGAGAGTAGCCGCCGGTGTTCCGGTGAATTTAGTTCCTCTGTTTCCCTTTCGGCGTGCATGCTGACCCTATACAGTCTATGATGCTGATAAAAAATGCTGACTCACAGCCTGTAAATACGTTTTCATATTTAAAAGATGCAACAAATGCCTCGTTTGTAATGGGTTTTATTGGTTTTGTCTCGTCGCGCCGAGACATGGCATCACAGCATGTAAAGGGGCGTAACATTTCCGTCACACGCTTGAGGTATTCGGCCAATCACAACGCACTGGATAGCTGGCCAATCACAGCACACCTCGCTTTTCAGACCGATGAGCTTTGTAAAAATCGATGCGTTTCAGAAAGGCGGGGCATAGAGGAGAAACAATAATGTACAGTATGTGGAAAATAATGTGTTTTTTGAAACTTAAACCACATAAACACATTTCATTACACCAAATAATGTTATTTTTAGCAACATCATATGACCCCTTTAATACAAACAAAAAAAAACTGCATCACCTCAGACAACACGAAATGGCATTCACAAGTCATTTTACTTCTATATTGTAATACATTTCTGAATGAAACAGTATATTCTGGGTGAAAATAAATAGGATAATATCCAACTGATTGGATAATGTTAGTGGGTGTATTTCCAGTGGATTGTGTTGGTTACTCCAGTCCTGAAACACCACTGATAACAAAATTCATGAGGTTTTTTGAGGATGAGAATGTTGAAGTTCATTGAGAATTTCAACATCTCTCAGCGCTCAGCACTCAATTATTTGCTGTTATCCCCGTAACCTTTAGTACATTAACATTATCCGTGTTGTAAGCATATGTTACATGAGAGTCAACATTAGGATCAAAGATCAATATTACACTGACACTAGATGTTACAGTTATGATGCTATAAATCCATAACGATGGAGGCAAACTGATGTTTCCTCTCTTTCTTTCACTTTCTGCGGTTTCACTGGCTAGTTTATTTGCAAACATTGATAGTGACAGAGAACAAGTCTGTGAAACCAAAATAGATACATAAAAAAATCATGTTTAAATGATTATATGTTATGTGTCATGTTGTCATATTTTTTTTATTTTTAATAATTCTGATAACATTGTTTAGAATGCATTAATATCAATAAACTTTCAGTCAGTTTAATATAATAATAAGATAACAAAACCAGTATGTGCATATTTAAAACTGCCTATATATATAACAATTGTACTTCTCATCCAAGCTGATGCCACAATCTGGTTACATTTACATTTAATAGATTTTACATTTCAAAACTTACAAATGAGGAACATCACAAGCACTTCATCACACAACCGTTGTGATTTTCTAGGCAGGTGAAACAAACACCAGACGCACTGAGTAAACCGTATCCACGATGTAGACGATCAGATTGATGCAAGTCATGCAGGACACAACAACCAGGCTATCCCAGAAACAGTGATTGCAGCCTGGTGGTCTTGGATTGTTCTGGAAACTGTAGACAGGCCATATCACCACAGCCGTGAGGTACATTAAAACTGCCAGTATGTTGTACCCCGTCAGACATTTGTCCAGCGGGATGGGGATTCGAGCCAACAACCTGCCGATGGTGAGGATGATGATGAGGAGAGCAATGATGAAGCAGATTGAGTAGACGGCCACACACCACTGAAGCCCAGGGAACCTGCTGTAAAAGACCGAATTCAGAGAGATAAAGATGATGCAGGCCACGAACGCCTCCAGGACCTTCAGCAAGCCCGGCACGGTGGACAGGAACCCGCTGATCTCCCCGGGTTTGGCTCGGGTCAGTCCCACCTCGGCTGAGTACAGGCCGAAGCACACGCAGGACATCACTGTGGCTGCGATCCTGACCGACTGTGAGGAGCGTACGTAGAACGTGGGGTAGATGACCGAAGCGGCCAACAGCATAAGCGTGGACAACATCGCAAAAGCCGTTGTGAAGTCGTCCCAAGAAATGGGCACCTTGGCGCTGAGGCTGGTGAACTCCAGGATGATGATGAGGAGGGTCACGAAACAGCAGAAGCACCAGGTGAACATGCACCAGGCCCAGAACGAAGAGCTGTCGTGGCCTTCAGAAGCCACCAGGCTGAAGGTAATGAGCGTTAGTGCGAACTCAAAGAGGCGGATTATTCCCACCGGCACGGTGAGAGA